CAGCTGCGGGGTCGGCGAGTCCCGGCCGCGGTCGCGACCGACTCACTCGGCGGCGCCGCGGTCCCCGTCTGCCGCGTGGGCGGGAGTGAGGTCCCCCTTCCCGGGCGAGCAAGCGGCTGCTCAGGCCCCTTCACGTGGTGGCAGAGGCGGTGTCAGGGTCGTCAAGACGGACGGAGGGCTTAGCTTCTCGGACCGAAAATGCGCCAGGTTTGTTGTTTAGGTAACTCGGTCTATGCTATCTGAGCGCCTTAGCTTAGGCATTCGTCTGAGAAGATAAGTGATGACAAATATGAGAATGGTATTATGACGAATGCCAAACTCTTTACAACGGATTCGGCCTTTGCACGACGGGGCTATAACTTCTAGCATGTTTATCAAATGATGCTTTGATAAGGCATTAAGCTACGTCACTGTCTGCTTCTGAGCTTTGCCGAAGCTGATAAGCACCTTGTCTGCGTCTGTTCCGCCTCGCCGTAAATCGCTCAGTCCGTAAAGTTGTCCAGTCAGCGTGGGCTATGCTTCGCCTAGTCGGCTCTTTCAGCTTAGTCAAAGAGCTCTCCTCTCCGTGTCTGCCCGCGCAAGTCACATTCCAGCGCGGAACCTACTTGCAAGTCTAGCTTCGATGCTCGTACCTTGATAGTTGGCAGTTTATATATGTATTATAGAACATATATATATATGTATATATATATATATATATATATATATATATATATATATATATATATATATATGTACAGTTCTGATAGCTGAATCGTTTTATTAGCGAGCGTGGCAGTCCAGCACACATCGGCACCCTGTGTCACTGTGATGACTAAGCAGCCCTGCTCTTCTCCAGCTCATTGCCAATCAGCTCTCTAAAGCGTCGCTGATTCGCTCCATCCCAGCTCATGGCCACCGCGTTTCGTCACGCGGCCAAGTCGGGCCCGGCTCCCTTGGCGCGGGTCACTCGGCTACGTGGCACGTGCCGCATGCCACGTGCCACGTGCTACGTGCCGCGCGCCACGTGCCTCGCTCCTCCCGGCTGGTCGCCGCCCAGAGCGGGCGCAGTAGTCTGTCACATGATAAGTCAAGTTTTGCTGTCAGCAGGCAGGCCGTATTGACTCCGGAGAATGTAGCTGTCACTGCGACCGGGCCCCGGCCGTCAGCACGGCTGAGATCTCCCGCCGCTTCGGGACAGTCTCCGTCAGGCCACGCAGCACGCCCGGCCGGCTGGGAGCCGGTCCATTGTGCGGATATCTGTTTTCAAACACCGCACTAGGACAGGTTTCCCCGAGGCCGTGTCGAAAAAAATGCTGGAAAAGTGTTCCAATTGACGCTGACGCTGAGTGTTGCCCAGCGATAAGACATTTCCTAGAAATACTCGTGATGAGGGCCACCGCATCACAGTTGGCTTGATCATGCCCGAGAAGTTTTTGACAGCGGATTGGACAGAAAAAAAACACAAAAAGGTAATAGCCGCTGCGGCTGCGCACGCCCCGTCCTTGACCCGCTGTGCCCCCTCCCCCCCGCTGTTCCCTTATGCCGTTTGCAGCTCCGGCGGCAGTTGCGTCAGCAGTCACGGCAATTCACCCTGGCGGGTATCAGCGGGCCCGCCTGCGTTTTTGGCCCGGCGGGCGGTGCCTTATGCAGCTAAGTGCTGGTCATTACGAGATTTGGCGCGGCCGTCCTTGTCGTCGGACTGGTGGGTGTGGCTCGGCTCAGCTTGCCGGTCGTCCCCTCCCCGCCGCCCCCCCTCCCTGACGAGTGTCACGTGATCCACGGAGGTGGAGGAGGAGGAAGGGATGGGGGTGGGGCTCAGTGCGCGGACCGGCTGCTGCTCTGTTCGCTGTGAGTGCGGCGACGGCCATGGAAGAGAGCGGTGACGACCGGCGCTACCCCGGCTGTCGCTTGACTTTGCATTGAAATTGAAGGACGTTTCATGAGCTTCTCTGTGGTGTAGACATGAAGCGCTTGTCCATGTACCAAATTGGGCATGGTCAATTGTTCAAAATTGACCACTGAACACCAGGTCGCTTCGTTCATGCAAAGGTTTTCCGAACTGCTTTTATTTTGCCCCGTCCCGACTACTCGTTTTGCCTTTGCTTGGCATGCACCCAGGGAACGGATTTGAAAGGAATTAATACATGGTTCTTTTGCTTGCAAAATACATTGTTACTCCTCGTCTAGTCCACAGCCAGCTTCTGCACAGCTGGCTATCGCTAAAACGCTGCCGGCGCCCGCAGCTGTCCCGCCTGTGTGTCCCCGTTAGAAAACAGGCTCGCCGTCAGCGCTATACCGAGCGGTCTCCCACACCGCAAACGGAGTCATCCTCGCGCCGGTTTCCCAGCATCAGAGCCCTCCGCCGACACCGGCGGAACACAACGCCGGCTACCGTCGCACACCCACGCCACTCCGCCCCATCGCGCTGAGTTCCAGCCCCCTGCCGACGCGCGTGGCGTAGCGTCGCGTCGCCGCCGTCGCACGTCGCGCGGTATGGCGTCGGTGCTGCCGTCTGCGGCGCGCCGAGAACGGGAGCGTCGGCGCTGCCGTTTCCAGGGCGGCGGCGTGGGGGCCGTGGGAGCGCCGCCGTTCCCCGGCCGAGGCGGCGAAACGACGACAGACGGTGCGGCCGACGCCGGCGACGGAGGCGCGGCCGACGCCGGCAACGGAGGCGCGGCCAGGCGCCGGCGATGTGGAGGCGGCGAGAGTGGGAGAGAAGTGGCCTCTGTGGTTTGCGTAGGCCTGAAAGTGGAATATAGTGTTTTTGCAGCATTTTAAGTACCAATCTGTGGAAAAATGCAGGTGGATGGGATGCACATCTTTCGGGGATGGCTGCATTCGTTTTTTTACTTGACTCAGCTATGCACAAGCTGTGTGAGATCTGCTGACATCCTAGACGCACAGCACTCTCATCGATCCTCTTTACACGATCAGTTAAATCCGACTGCAGTCCGTAAGGTGTGATAAGACGCTAAGACTGACGAGTAGATCATGACTTCAGTCACCCGCTTCATATTTGATTTGCCGGATTACATGTACAGGATAAAAAAAAGATGCAGAACCGTGTGTGAAGAGGACATCTCAGAGCAAAGCGAGCTTGCCACTGCCGATTTTGTCTTTACCCGGTAAAGGCTTAGTAAGATACTCCTTTAAAACTCAAGGTAGCTTCTAACCGAGCCCAGTAATTAACTTCCTCCTAATATTTACCCTACCAGAGCCTTAATTGGCCAAAGCACTGGATGTGTCCAACAGCCGAATTATCACCGAACTCCGTTCAACGCACAACAATCGTATCCGACCTGTAATGTTAGTCACACGCACAGCCAAAGCTGGTCGACCATTCGTAGCCATGTTTCGGCCGCTGGTCGGCGCCTCCCTCACCATCAAAAGCTCACCGGCCGTCTTCGGTGTCCGTGCCGGTGCGTCCCTGCAGACAGGCAGGCGGCTGTATTCTGGGTCACCCAGTCTAGCCTGGGCTCTCTCGTGCCATGCCGACTGGCCGGCAGCCGACATCAATCAATCACTCAGCACAGAATGCGGCCAGTTCTCCTAATTCGCACAAATTTCGTGTAATGAACGGGCATTACCGTCGCCCTGGACCGCGCTCGGTAGCGTGGCTTGAATTCGCTAACGGATCTTTGCTGGGCCTGACGTCGGCTTCCGGTGACGCCGGGTTCTCTGATTAATGTCGGCTTGGATTAGCCTGGCCGTCTGGACGTTCGCCGCCGCTCGTTATGCCGATGACGTCACTGGTTCCACAAACCGGGCTGCAGTCGCGTGAGACGATACCGACCACTCGGACGTGTGGGGCGACTGGTAACGGCAGGTTCTGTGTGAATGATGGAAGTCACCGAGGCGCGTCAGAGCGGTGATCATGAGCTTTCCTGACGTGAAAAGGGGAAGCAGTGACAGCTGAAGGGGTAGCAGTAGCAGGTAAAGCGCCGCAAGCATTCAGGGATTGTCTTAATCGGCCTGAGCCGTTTCCTTTGTGTGTAGGCCGTGTCAGACCCAGGGTCGAGTCTAGCCGGCTTCTGGCCGACGCCAGGCCCCCCACGCTGCCTGGGGCGCGACCGGATCAGAGGCCGTTTCAGTGACGTCACGCTCTCGGCTTTTGTGTTGGCCCTAATCTGCCGTGGCCCTTGCAGTCAGTGCCGCTGTTTTATTCTGTTTTGGACCTTGCTGACATGGCGCCTGGCTCGCAGCCAACTCTGAGACAGGCTCCCGTACAAAAGCTGAGCCATTTTGTATGCCGACGTGAACATCGTTCACAGCCTGAACATCTTGGTCGAGTGCATGGCGACCATGTCCCTCTCTCGCATGACAGCAACAGAAAAGCTTCCATTTTTTACGACACATGCCACTCAAACAGCTACGATCATCACACCTCGCTCCAATCGCCGTAGGGGTCGAATCGGGGTCGACATCTCTCGAGCCATCGACTGCCCCCCCCCCCCCCCCCACAAAACCGCATTGCCACACCGTCACTTCGCCCGCCTCTTGTCAGGCGACGCCGTCTTTGCCCCTCACTAAACGGCGCCGTCTTCACCAGCCGCGGCGCTAACCACCTCAACGGCGCGCGCCGCTCCTCCCGCTGGCCAACCGTGACCGGCGCGCGTCACCCCTCGCTGATGGATCGGGCGCGTTTCGGGCGGCCTTGCCCAACCGGGGGCTGGGCGGACCGCGCTAACGACCGGCGTGCTCGGGCCGCGGTCGGGCGGCGGCCCCGGGCGAGCCATCGGTCACCGACGGCGTGTCCCTGCCCGGCCCGGCTGGAAATGAGCCCCGCCGGCCGGCTCGGCACGCGCCACCGTCGCCAGCTGCGCGCCCGCGAACGAGAGGCGGGTGACCCGGTTTGACCTGACCCGGTCTGTCTCGGCTTGACCTGGCACGACCGCACTGCTCGGAGAGTGAGAGTGGCAGGCGTGCGCTCGGGACGACGACTGGGATGCATTTGCAACGGTTTCGATGTCTGTGGTGGAGAGCCGTCGTCGACGCTTCACGTTTAAGGCCACAGAGAGGTTAATGGTCACGCAGTCGACGCGCCCCTAAACACTACAAGTCATCATTACGCTTACAGCCGGAGAGCTGCTTTAGTTGGCAGTCCAGAGCACTAGGTCACAAGTCAAAGATTCGTCGCAAACATGGGCGCATCGCCGTAATTTGTTTCGTAGATTATGCTGAGGACGTTTCGTATAACGGCAGCGAGGGCATGGTGCTGAATATCTTAATACGCTAGATATGCAGATACATGAGAGGCGCCCTGACTACTCGGTACACGCCACTACATTTCGATTCTCACCTCCCGTTGTCATTTCGCATATCCAGCTCTCGGCCGTCGGCAAAGATTAATCACCGAGAAATCGGCATAAATTTAGACGGCGCCTGCGCGGCGGCCAGCCCGATATAACTACTAAACTTACCGATGTGCTTTCCGTGTGTAGTGCCACAAGGCGAGCCGGCGAGGGTGGTCAGCTGACTGGCTACCAGCTGACTGCCGCTGCTCCTGGGGGCTCGCGCCGGCGGCTCGAGAGGACCGAGAAGCGCCGCCAGCCGAAGCGCAAGGCGGGTGAGCGGCGCGAACCGAGCGGACTGAGCGAAGCGAGAAGACGGTGCCGGGCGAATAAACATTGAGAGGCGGTGGCCGTTGGACTCCTCAGTGTCGTGACCGTCGGACCAGATCGAGACGACTCAGCCAAGTCCGCGCACGGAGTCGTGAGGCCCGGCGTGACGTGACGCCGTTGCGGACCGCCTCGGCGCGAGGCGAGGCGCGAGGCGAGGCGCGAGGGGACGCAGTCGGCCCCCGGACATGGTCTTCAACCCCGGTGAGTAACGCCGCGGCATCGGCCGGCCCGGCGGCGGAGCGGCCTGCGCCAATGTCTCACGGTCGTGCACACTCCACATACCGACAACGCGTGCTGGGTGGTGACGGTGGCGGAGGCCGCCACGTTCACACGCATTTCTGCATGCCTGCACTCAGAGACCGCGGTCGTGACTTTGCACCAAACGGGCTGTCGCCACTCGCCGAGGAGAACTGTGGCCAGTCTCAGAGTGTTCTCTCGCCGAGGAGAACTGTGGCCAGTCTCAGGGTGCCAGTCACCAGTTCTTCCCTGCGCACACCCGCATGTGGAGGTTAAACGTACCTCCAGTTTCTAAAATACCTTAAGAACCATTGAGTAGCTCGGCCAGAGGTTCAACGTCTTTCATGTGATGCATTTGGTACTATCTGATGTTTGTCAAGGGCCAGACCAGTGCCACTGAGTTATGGTGTCACCAATGAGGGCCCACGCCACCACCATTGACCCGAAATGCAATCATCCGCAGTTTTCGTTCCATTTTTGATTGTTCGATGCTGTTCATCGACTGGTTTGAGAGTTCGTCAGTCCGAGTCTGTGGCCGGGTCTCGGTCAACGGGTCTTATATAAGAGAGCACGTGATGTTACCCACGGAGGTCCTGTGAAGTATACTTGTAATCATTAAAGCAAATTATTGGACGCACATTTGCAATCAATAAGTCGGTAAAACTCACACATTTCCAACTGTGTAGGTCATGGAAAAAAGGAGAGAAATCTTACTCAGTGGGGTAGTCTGAACTTGACCTTGCCTGGCCTTGCCCTTACATTAACGCTGGCCTTACATTGGTAGCGGCCTTACTTTTATTTGTGGCTTTTTTGAACATGACTGCATCACGCGAAAGGACATAAACGTGAGCTTTCGTTCGATGCCAGGTATAGAACCATCTGACCGTCATTACGGGTCTTAACAGGCCCGAATTCTTTTCAACATGTTGATTATTTGTGATTCGTCTAGCGCTCCCTGTGACTTCATCAGTCGTGTGATGGATGCAAATTTAACCACTCGTGGGTGAGATCGAGCAGAGCCATCCATTTTTCTGATCCCATAGTTAGTGCCAGACATTCTAGTTACTTTCATCCCTCCGGTGGTAGCAGCTGTGGCATTACTGTAAGTGACGTCTGGCTAAAACATCCTCCGCGCTCCCGCAGATTACTATGCTAGTACGATGCCCAAGCTCCCCTGTGTTGATGAATGTGTTTGTACCTTATAAGTGCAATCCTGTTTTCTGACCTACATGACGGACCGTGCACAGTGCTCAGCTTACATCCCAGCATCTCCCGCGTCAAAACCCCACAAAACGAGGTCCCACACGGCACGACGCTGCCCCGCCCCCTCCCCCGGCGGGCCCCTTCAGGCCCGCACGTGCCGGTCACCCTCGCCTGATGGGCGCCGGGGCGTCCCTGGACTCGGGCGCCCATCCCCGCCGCTTGTCAGCACGGCGGGCGGCCGCGGCGAAATCCGGCACAAAAGAATAATAAGCGGCGCGGTCAGCAGGGCCGCCGCCGGATCACAGCCAGTCGTGCTCACGGCCGCTCGCCGAGCGCTCACGCCTTCTGCGCGCCGCTTTGTGGCGGCCGGCCGTTGCGACAGGGGGCAGAGGCTGCGGCGGCGGACGTGACGCCCGGCTGACCGATGGCCGCATGACCCGCCCCCTCTCAGCCTCCTCTCTCTCCTCTCTCTGTTTTTTTCTCTCTCTCTCTCTCTTCTCTCTCTCGTCCTCTCTCTCTCTCTCTCTCTTCTCTCTCTTCCTCTCTCTCTTCTCTTCTCTCTTCTCTCTCCTCTTCTCTCTCTCTCTCTCTCTCTCTCCTCTCTCTCTTCTCTCTCTCTCTCTCTCTCTCTCTCTCTCTCTCTTCTCCTTCTCTCTCTCTCTCTTCTCTCTCTCTCTCTCTCTCTCTCCTCTCTCTCTCTCTCTCTCTCTCTCTCTCTCTCTTCTCTCTCTTCTCTCTCTCTCTCTCTCTCTCTCTCTCTTCAGTGTGGTCTTCCCTGGTCTCTCCTGATGTCTTCTGCTCTCTCCACTGTGACCGATGCCGTCTGCCCGTGATTTGTCATTCTCTTCCTCCCTCTGCCGTGTGTGGTCGTCCCTTTCTTCACGTTCTCCCAGCTTGACCTTTCCCCTCATTCTCCCTTTCCAGCGTTACCTGCCCCCTCTGCCTTTCCCTTCCATCTTTGTGGCGAGTTCCTCTCTCCCGTCCTGTTCCACCTTTTCTCACCTACGCGATCAGTGCTACATTTGTGACTAGTTTATCTCAACCGTCGCCACTCTCTTCGCTATGATCAGTACCACTCACCGTTGTGTTTCTGATGATCTGCTCTCCATCCCTCCTCAACTAACCGTGAGAAGTCGTCTCGCCCTGACCTAACCTGACCTGCCCTACCTGATAAGCTGTGCCACCTCAGTGTTGTTAGAATGCGTCTTTGCCCACTATGACTTAGGTCTGCCCGGGATATCGCCGACACAAGGGGTTTGCGGACATCTGCGACCATCGTGCACGTCTTATATCCGGCCCTCTTTACTCGTTTGTGCGGTTTCTCGGTCATTATCGTTTTTTCGTGGTCTGTTGAAATAGTTCAGGCCACGCCACGGTGTGGAAATGTAACGAGCGCGTGGGTGTTTTGTGCTGTTGGAATAATCGCTGAGTGGAGACATTAAAAGACGCCAGCAGGCCTCGCGAGGCGCCTGTAAAGTCGCTCTGTTTGTAACCTCACCGCAGCGTGCGGTTTTTCTTCTTCCCTAACGCATCGCTCAGCATCTTGCAAAATGGATTCAAGGGGCCAGGAGTGCAAGAGCTCATTACAAACGCATCGTATAGTGGATAGGTCCTCCCCGGAGGCTACCACGCATTCGGGACGGCCCGCGCCCCTCGTCGGAGATCCCGGGGGGAAGGCAGTGGCTGGATGGAATTGAGGGAGGATGGGGGGGGGGGGGGGGGCGTAGAGAGCGTGGCTCGGCGGGAAGAGTTCGCGCCAGCCGACCCCGCCCGACCCCGGCCACGGCAGCTCGCGCCATTTCCATAATGGAGCCGTCGCCGGGCGTCCGGCATTTGTAAATAAGAGAAAAGCCAATTACCTCCGGGCTGGCTACCATAGCGCGCCGGCCGGGCCGCCTGGGCCGCCCGGGCAGTCGCTAAATATGGCCGGTGATCGTGGTGGGGCGCGGCTGGATGGCACCGGATGGGCCGGGGCAGCCGCGGCACGGGCCAAGCGCGGACGGACCACTCCCGGGTGCTCGCTGTCTGTCTCAGGTGCGAGGCGGGCTGTGAAGCCGATGTTTGTTGAGCGTCGCGATGGCTCACCTGTAGCGGTGTTATCAGGGAAGGGCGGAGGGGGGGGGGGGAGAACGGGATCATGCCCCTCCACCTGAGTACCCAGGGATTTACTCCAGATATTGAGCGATTTCGCTGGAATTCGTCCCAAATTTGCGAGAGTTTGGACCAAGTTTGACATCCTCCCTGTGGCTACGTGCCAGCTGCGGGACCGCAACATCGCTAGTTTAGAACTGGAATCACCAGCCGTGCCATGGGAAGGCAGTCTTCTCGCCGCTCGGAGGCTGAACTCTCGGCAGAGGTCGGGAGATAGGGGGGGGGGTGGATGGGAGGGGGGGCAGAGCTTGAGGGAGGGTGGTGGCAGCTGACGAAGGGGTCAGGCTGACCTACTCGGCCTGATGGGGCCGACGGTCCAGACGGACAGGCCGTGTTCCCGTTCACGGCCCTCTCCGTTCCCGAGAGGGCCAGTGTACCAGAGCAGTCGTGAAGCCCGTTGATCCCCTGAATTGTCCATTGTCGTCCCTCTGGGGTATGAGCTCTCAGACCGCGAGCGGGTTGATGTGAGGGCTGGAGAAGTGTGCGGCGGATGGGAGAGCACGGCGCGACATGTCGGCATCGAACATCGCGTGCGTCTAATGCGTCACTTTCGCTCTGAGATATTGAGCCACTGCCGACCGCGCTGTATGGGTGTGCACAAGATGTACCTGTTCAGCTTAGGCAACAGCAGAGCGCCCGCGAGCAAAAAGATAGTACCAGTTCACCAGCGACAGCATCGCTATGGAAAGACGGCCCCGTGGATACTCGCCGCCACCACTGACGATTTACGCAAAGCTTTCCTGACGGCCGTCATCATAACGAGCACGTAATTGTCGTGTCCGGCGAACATGATATCCAGGCCAGGTGGCGGCCGACGGTTTGCGGCGTATCTGCCGCGCGGTGTCGGCTGCTACAATCAAACTGCGGCATAATCCCTGCGCCAAAGCGTCGACTTCCTTCTCCGGGAGGCGGAGAGGCCTGCAGGGCTCCCATGAGAGTCTGCCCGGGGGCAGCGGGAGGGCAGGCAGACAGCCGACAGCTGTCCAGACGGCCTTCTTACATATGCAAATGAGGAGGGCTTGGGACGCGGCCAATTACGGGATAAAGGAAACGGATGGGCGGTCGGGATTGTGCAGAAGGAGGAAATTACCGGACTGGGGAGATTGATGTGTGATTTTTGTGCAAGGGAATGGTGATTGGACATGCGCTATTACATCATAAACTAACTGATGTATCTGGAATATTTAGCGGATGGCGCTGCCACGGCAGTGTTGTTGTGGCTCGGTAGTTGGCATTGGTGTAGTGATGCCATAGTGGAAAGACATTGTATGGCTAGATTTCCTCTCCGTAGAGTAAGACAACTGTGTGCTGGTCACCTCGCGCAGCACGGCGCCGGGCTCCTATATGACTCACGTTTGTCTTGTTCTTTGGTGCGTCTCTTGTTCTTTGGTGCACCGTCGTGGATCGCGTGCCAAACTTCTCGAGGTGGGCAGGGAAGGTGGGAAGGGGGGGGGGGCGGAAGGGAGCAATGGCACTAGCTCCTGTGGTACCCACGTCCAGATGCCTTCAGGAGTTACGCCGCGCCAGACGCTGCGAATCCTGGCGAGATCAACGGAACAACCGCACGCCTAACGCAGCCCGCCACTCTGAAGCCGATGCGTCGGCCTGAC